TTCCTAGCCTTGCTACAGGTGACCAAAGAAGTCATCACCACATGGCTCTACTCAATATATACAGCTTGCCTAAGCATTCATTCATTCGTCTTTGACTTTCATAGCGTACGGTTGTGTTTTTGTTTTGAGCTCCGAATTTTTGTGTTTACTTTGCATTTAAACAACCTGTGTTCCAGCTTTAATTGTTCAAATACAATTTTAACTTTGGCGTTCAGCTACGCGAGTGCATGTGTCTTTCAGTGTTTAATTAATATGCAGTTTATAACGACTTTTAGTTTTTGTCTTCAGTCCTATTTTAAATGAAAGCTCCCTTAGTTTGGATCCTCATCGTGTAAAACCAGTTTATTCTCCGGGTCTCGATGGAATACCAGGCTACGTGCTCAGGTATTGTGTTGGGGCTCTGTACAACCCCCTTCTGAAATTATTTACCTTAGCTTTATAAACCTCAGAATTTCCCCTTATTTGGAAGAATTCATTTATCATTCCTATTCACAAATCGGACGACAGCAACGATAGAGGAATATTTAAGTTATCGGCGATTCCAAAACTTTTCGAGATTGTAATTACTCCTCACTTGCAGCATTTATGCAGATCAGTAATTTCTCCATGTCAGCATGGATTTATGAAGCGAAGATCGACCACTACAAATCTCTTGGAACTCACCTCTTTCGTTATTAGGGGTTTGCGGCATAACAGATTTACACAGACTCTTTTAACCACTCTCATCTTAAAATAAGCTTGACATAATCAGGTTTCACGTCGATCTTCTTAAATGGGGTTTGAGTTATTTGAGTGACAGAACTCAAAAGGTTCTATTTAAAAATGATCTATCCAAATTCCTCAGTGTCACATCTGGAGTCCAACAAGGTAGCCACCTCGGCCCGCTATTTTTACTTTGTTTATCAATGACCTCCCGTTGGCTCTAACGAACTCTAGAGTACTTATGTACGCTGATGATGTTAAACTATGCCTGCAGTATATGGACAGCTTGCCAGTCAGACCTGCAATCCGATCACAAAATTGTTCAAACAATAGCTCAATAGCTCCAAATGCAAACTGATGACATTTTCACGTGTCACTCCCCAGTTTGGCACTTATACGCTTTATGCCTGCGTCTTATCGACGATTTGGGCGTTCGCCTAGATCCTAAACTTTCGGTCTCTAAATATGTTTCATGCATAGTTAATAAAGCCAGAGGCATGCTCGGTTTAATTAAAAGATGGTCGAAGGACTTGGTTTCCCCTTATGTAATGAAGACTCTTTTTGCAAACGCCCTATATTGGAGTATGGTTCATGCGTCTGGAGTCCTCAATTTGGAGTCCATATTAACCGTACTGAATCCGTACAAAAGAACTTTTTACTTTTCGCCGTCCGTGGCCTACCTTGGGATGCTGACATGAGGCTTCCGTCTTATTCTAGCAGATTTCTATTAATTAACTTTCCCTCTCTAGCTAACCGTAGAGCTATGTTCGGTGTTGCACTTCTTAATAAACTAATAAAGCTAATGCAGCTCAATTTCCACGTTCCTCGACTAACATCTAAAATAAATCACTGTAGGCGGGAGTTTGAAACCCTTTAGGTCTTTATGTGCTGATTACAACCGCCTCTCTGATATGAAAGAAAGAAGTTACCATATTTTAAAGAAGAAAAAAGGTTTAAAAACAGCGAAGTTAAAATTTTTTTCTTAAAATTTTCCTATCGTTCCTATGACAGCTATAGGATATTGTCGTCGGATTTGTATAAAATTAAAACCGAAATTCTAGAATAATATAAAATGACCGTATCTAAGATTAAGTGAAAATAGATACATATGTTAAAAACCAGCGAAGTTATAGCTTATAAATATAAAATAAGTTATAATTTATAGTCGACCGATCCGGCCCGTTTCGATTTAAAACTGATACCGTAACTGTAAAACTGTAAATATAATAATAATATGTACAAGTATGTAATAAAAGTTTTTATTATATGTATAAATATATGTACAGCATATATATTTATAATTTATGTTCTATTAAATATTTACACTTAAGATATACTTTTTATACGATTTAAATATGTTTTACTGTTACTCAGGCGTGCTCCGGTAATCGAAAACGGCAAGATTTTTTTAAGGGGTTCTTCTCATTCAAAACCCGTTTTTTTGACTCTTTTTAAAAAAATTCTTATTTGAAATCGCAAAGAATAATTGAAAACTTTTTTTATTAATTGTATTAAAAAATGTTCAAAGTAAATAAAAAAATTGTTTTTGCCTCGATACGAGGGTTGTTCAAAGAGTAATGAGACTTCAAACTTGGTGGTGGAAAAAAAGGTGTCGTCCTGGCGGCCACGATTCAGGGTCTCCAGAGCGTCCGAAATGAAAAATAAGAACGGGGCTATAATCAGAGTAGATGTAATTTTCGGGTGACGGAACAGATTTTTTTTTAAATTTTTTTAAACAAAATGGCGGCCATTCAAAAAAAATTTCGATTTCGGGCTTTTTTTGTAGTTTAGTGTAAAAAAAAAATAGAAAAAAAATTTTTTTTTAAATCTGTTCCGTCACCCGAGAATGGTGACAATTCTGCGTCGATTCCACTTTGATTCATAAAAATCGGTTTAGTTGAACTAAAGATATCATGGCCGCCAGTTCGAAAAACGTGGTTTCGAGATAAACGCGTTTGAACTTTGAAAAAAGCTCATTTTGCGAAGACCTTGCTTCCCAAAAAAAGCTGTATCTTCTAAAGTATTTCGAATTTCTAAAAATCCTTTTAAGGACATATACACAACATCCCAAGATATAAATAAATGAAAAAAAAATCGAAAAAAAAGTTGCCCAATGAGAAGACCCCCTTAAAACGAGAATTGGTGCTCCGGTAATCGAAAACGAAAGACTTTTTCGATTTGAAAAACGAGCACCTTTTTCTGGCCGGAATGAAAAGTAAATGGCTTTTTTTAAATGAAATCAGATCTTATTTACAAAAGGAAAAAAATAGTTTACTCGGTGGTCTATTGATGTTTATTCCACACCACCACAAGATCATTCTGGCAGGTAGTTATTTTATAAAAAATTTATTTCTGACCCCACCTCAGATTTGACAACAAAATTTTTGCCCTGTTCAACAAGTTTTCTCGTTTTGGCGATAGGTCGATAAGTCCATGACAAAATGTCATCACCAAGGTTGCCATGTTGTTGGTGGAACGAAACAGTCAGTTAAAAATACTTATAAAATATAAAAGAATACATTAATAACTTAAGAGGAGCGCCAAAGTTGTTGTTTGTAAATAATGCTATTTAATTTGTTTGCTTAAATGGTCAAAGTTGACCAAATAATTAATTGAGACCACCGGAATTAAAATGGCTAGAGTAGCTTAACTCCATAATTTTTTTTCCTTTTCTCGGCTTTAAAATAAGCAATATAAAAGGCAGTTCTTTACGTTGTTTGCTTTTTACCGAAAAATCAAGTCAGCTTCTTGAGCAATAAGAAAAAATGAAAAAACCAGAGCTCGCAGGGTTGAGTCCCGATTTCCAAAAAGGTCTCAACATTAAGGTTACGTAACCGGTTAGCCGCGAAAAGACTCAACGAGACATCTGCCCTTTTTCTATTCTCTCTCGGTTGAAGCGGCAAGAGCGGGCTCGCGGTCTTAAGTGTGACCGGTCTCTTCGCAGAAAGCTCTCGCTGTTAATTTGCACATTTCGCGTAGCGTACGTTGATTGTTTGCACAATTTCTTAATTTTTGACAACAAACATTTCAAAATGTAAATGATGAAATGATTAAAATAAAACAAATGAAGCAAAAAAAAAAAAACATTTGACACAAACTTGAGTTTGTTTCTTTATTAATTTGTGTTTAAATTGTTTTTAGAATATATTTTTAATTTTTCATACGCATGAACTCAAACGAGTGCTTCATCCCTCTCCCTCTCTCTCTGGCACTCTTATCGACTCAGAAGCGAGCGAGTAGTTTCTATGCCGCTTCGTTTCCCGAAAGCTTTGTCTTTGCGATCTACCATTACAGTTAACCTGAATCGCAATCAGCAAAGAAGCGAGAACATCTGCGAGAGAGACCCTTTTGAGACTATTTGGTTGTTCTCTCTCCGAAAGAATTTGATAGATCAAAACGGTTGACCGTTTTTTGCGAGCTCTGGAGAAAACAAAACATTCCGATAGCAAAAATTTTTTGAAAACCGGAGCAGCTAAAAACGAAATCGTACGATTTCGCCCAAAACGAAAAAATTTTACAATTACCGGAGCAGGCCTGAAATTTTATCACCTTCTTGGACATTAAAAAAACTAAAAACGTTAGATAACACACAAGCCGACAAAATTTGAAAAAATTGCAGTGCCAAAAAAACAGAATATACTTTAATGTGCTGAACTTAAAACCGGTGCCAGAAAACTTCCTATACGGAAAGTTTTTGTGATATTCCATCTTACAAGCGTAAATAATACGGTTTTTGTTACTTTTGAGATGCTGAAACTTAAATACGTTTTATTTTTTTCAAAACGATCGTTATGCTATCATAAAAAATGTTTATGGATCATCGAGATATTGTCATTTAATTTTATATATGTAGTTATTTTTCCAAAAATAATTGTCAAATTCGACACACTCAGAAATATATTGAAAAAAATCAGTATAAATTCCAGAGACGATATTTCGGAGACCTATAAACGCAAAGCACCTTAAAGGTACGCAAAAACCCTATTTTCTGAACATTTAAGTTTAAATATTAAAAAAAATGACATATGGGAAATTTAGTGAGTCCAGATTTGTGTTCAGCGCATTAAAAACTATAGGAAAATTGTGTTCTGGTCCTTGGTTCTAGAAGGCTGACGACCTGTGTAATTGATTTTATTTAGAGTTATTGGCAAATGAGGGAAGATATCGGAGAATAATTTGTTGTTAAAAAGAAAATGAGCACTAAGGAAAACTTTTATCAAATTGTAGTTCATCAGATAATATAACAATACTATTATATGCATTCGAGAATTGGTAAAATAAAAATGTAACCCATTTACCTCGGCAACTTTTATAAAGCGACCTCTACGATTCTGTTTGACATCCAAATAAAATCGTTTCGATTGTATCTGAAGCATTTTAGTGGCCAGTTCTTGCTCAACGCCACTGCCACCTGAAATCGAAGGCCAAGAACTATTATATATATGTACATTTATATTGATAGTTACAAATGTATACCTTTCACGGAGGAATCAAACTCATTACGACTCGACGAGCCCTCCATATTCGCCACATTATACTCTGAAATATAATAAATATGTATCTATTCTACAGATTTGTTATTTATCTTACTCGATCCTGAGATGCCTTCATCTCCACTTCCCAAATCTGACATTATCCGAACCTATTTAATTGTCGTAACCTTGGCTTGTTATATACTGTATAGTTCCTTTCTTTGCCTCCGCTCGCTGCCGATCTTCTAGTTAAGCCGTCTCAATCCCTCGTTGCCTTTTAACCATTTAACTTATTTATATTATTTATTATTAACATAAAAGTTTTACCCATATTCAAATAATCAGACAAATAAATAATATACACACACTCGCACACACACAGCACACATGTAAGAATCAGCTGTTTTAGCTGCTTTTTAGCTCTCGTGCAAGCAAAAACAAAGGTTCAAGGATTTTACATAAATACGAATGTAGCTCGTTTATGTATATATATACATATATATATGTATATATATATATATATATATATATATATATATATATATATATTATATTTTATATACATATATATATTAATATATATATATATATATTAAAAATATTAATGTATACTGCTTGGGAAAAGCTGGTATAGACTTTTAATTATATAAACCATTAATTAAAAATCTACAAGTTGGAGGAATTAAGTTTTGATTTTTCTGGCATATCATACTAAAAACTTTCGGTATATGTTACAGGAGAGGATGTTATCACTTTTACAACGCTTACTTTTGTTTTTAAATGACAGTTTGTTCATAAATAAATGAAGTACAAAATATGTACACACACACACACACACACACACACACACACACTTCAAATAGTTTTATCCCGAATAATACCATTATTTATCCCTTCTATATATTTATTAGGGTGCCACAAATCCGTGAGAACGCACAAATATCTTGCAAGTACCTTAACGCATTTTTCATTGCGAAAGAAAACTGTTTCTATTTCTAATTCATTTTGCAGGATGTTTTTGCAAAATCGGGCTTAAGTTTTTTTTTTGTTTTGTACGTCACGCGCAGTATCTAATGCATAATGTGGCGTTAGGGTATTACTCAGAATCGAGTTCTCAAAATACGTACCGTAACGTAAGAGCTGCAAGCTTAATAAAGCTTTTTACTACGTAGTCTTTCTATTTGCGGCTTTTATTGGTGCCTCTGTTCGTGGGACTCGTCGTCGTGGTCGTCGTCGGGTTTTTGTGTTGTATATTGGAACAGAAGAAACAGTTGAAAAATTATCATAAACCTCTCACGAAAGTCCTGAGTGCTGTTTTGATTCCTTTAAGAGCGGTGTACGCGGTTTGCGGTTCTCGGTATCTGGTAGATACGTTTTTTGGTCTTTTTAACGAATTCGTGTTGTGTGCACAATCCTATGTCGCATATACATACCAACAATTTTAATTACATACATATGGGTACCTAGGTACATACATACATGTATTTGTATGCAAAAATGTGCAGTTCAAACTAAAGAAGGAGCTGCAGCATCCGCAGTGCTTCTTCGTTGGGCATGTGTAACGTATTACGTGTGCGTACCTTGTACCTATGAACGAAACGTGAGTACACATGTGTATCACATGCCTATGTACCCGCATTAAAAATATTATGTAAAATACATACATACAAGACGTTCTTTCATCCCATCTCCGCTGCCATCTGCCACACACTCACCCACACAGTAAAACATTAACTCGGTAAAAAAAAAATGCGAAAACAGAAACGGAGCGAAGCAGCAAAAGCATTTCTCAAGAGAAACCAAAATTCAGATACAGATATATGTATGTACATACATATACGTGCATATATGTATCTTTTATCTTTTATTTTTGTGCCATGTCTGCGTATATTTGTGAGCGTGAATATATACGTTAAATTTTAAACGTGAATAAGGAATACACACACATGCACTGTTTTTATACATATACTTATTTATGTGTTGTACATATGTCCGTGTGTAGATATATGCATTTTGTAACACTAAGAAAAAATAATACGGGCTTAAAACTACAAATTAACTTAAAAAATAGTACAAAAAAAATATAAAATAATAAAAATATAATAAAATAAAAATATAAAACAATAAAAATATAAAGATTTTTCCTACTAAAAATAAAAGCTAAAACTACAATTAACTCCAATCAATTAAATCAATATAAAGGATTATTTTTGATATGTGTTTAATACCAAAAACATTGACTGTTCTAATGTTTACTACTTTATTTTTACATTATATGATTTTATAAAAAATCTTTTCGTGTTGCCCATTGTACAATTAGAGAACAACTTTTAATTCTCTACTAAGTTGGTTTTTTTTATTTAGTTTATTCAATTTCCCAATACAGCGATTGCTTTGTTTTCTCTCAGTGCACTCACTGAGAGGGCACTCTGTCGGTGCTCTTTTCGACAGGAATACCGATACATGATGAACATACGCTCAGATATATACATATATGCATACAGATACACTTGGCAAAAATATGTGAAGAGCTAAGGCTATGGACAAAATAATATAAATAAATATACCTCATTTTGATAAGCTTACCGATACTATCTAGGCGAGTTTTCCCAATTCTGTACATTTTACTTAACAATCTTGATACTTTCCCAACCATCTTTTATTTTCTGGCCTTAAAATCTTGGGTATTGGCCAATTAAAGCTATAATGAGACGGTAGGAAATATACCTCTGAATGCATATAGAGAGAAAAATTTCTATTTGATATATCGATAAAAATGTCACGAAATGTCAAAATTGTTTTATATTACATCGGAAATTGGAATTTTAAGAAATTACAATTAGATGCAGAAAATAATTATATATCGTCATCGTGTGTGCAATGAATTGATAATTTGTTTAGTAGATATATCAAACAGATAATATCAATATTTTTATGTTAAATGCAATATTATTTGCGATTTCTTGTCATATATGTTTTTTTTCTTGGTTTCAAATATCAACAATAAAAATAATTTATATATTGGTCTTTAGTTTAATTTGTACGAAAATATTTTAAATTTAATTTCGAGTAACTGCATCATAGAGTCTCTCGCAACACTACTTCGCCCCTATCAACCACACACACAGTGTGAGCTTTTTCGAGAGTGCGTACTAGTTTGAATGTTTGTTGTGTTTTGCGATGTTGTTTTTTTGTTGATTTTGCTAAAGTTTTCTGGTACAGTAGCTTTGACATATACATAAACGTCTACATAAGTGCATGTACAGATGCACATGAACATGTATGGTGAATAGGGGGGCATGGGCAGAGCTTGCCGCCTGGCAAATTTTCGCTTGGTTGCATTTTGGTGCTTTGCTTAAAAATGTTATGTGTATGCATATTTTTATTAAGCGTATTAGTATTTGCAAGTTTATATATCCATATATCGAATAGTAACGCCTAAAATATATGTTATCCTTGCGTATTCTGCTGTATCCTGTAAAACAGGCTAATATTCAACTGTGTCAGGGTTTTACAAAAGGCATGATTTACCCCACAAACATTTTAATGTATTATATTTATTTTATTTACAGACATACTAACAACGCGTTTGGCACTTGACCTATTTTGGCATTACCTAACTTTATACAAAGGACTACAAAATGGGAATCGAATTGATAGATAGAGCATCCTTCGATTAAAGGACGCAAACTGTCATCTCTATAAAACGGACGTTTTCATATATATTTTAGGAAATGCAAGTGGAAAGTAAAGAAATCCCACTGATAAGTAGTTCCTTCACATACGCGCCTGAAGTAGATTCTTCAATTATTTTACAACTAACTCCCACACGAGCCACAAAAGAACTAAGCAGAATTCTAAACGTTATCATCGAATTTGCAGAACTTATCCTTCAAGAGAAGAAACCGAATAAGAGTGAAAGTAATAGTAAAAGTCGTCTAATGGCATCTAAAGTGGATATTAACTTGGCCACAACAGTTGGTACAGTGCCGCCTCCATCGTCATTTTTGAGCAGTACGCCTCCAGTTAGTGGTAGCAACTATGCCTCTCTTCTACCGGAATCGAATAGAAAACGCCAAAAATTGTCCACCACGAATCAAGAAGAATCCAACAGTTGCGATGGTAATACCAATCCTAAATTGGATGCAACTAAATCGGACATAAAGTCTGAGGATTATCAAGAAATAGACACTATCGAAAGGACATTGAATGTAGATATTTTAGAGAAGAACACATCATCCAAAAATGAGTGCTATGTCGCGCCAGAGCAAGCTTTGGTGACAAGCGTAGAGCTAGTGGTTCCAGCTCCTCCTCCGGCAGGAGACTTAGAGTTGGAGTCAAAGCCTAACGCTGATGGTCTGTATAATAGCTCTAGTAGTAGTTCCTGCGATTCGTCAAGATTATTATTATTACCAAACGATAAAATTGATGGTTGTGTAAATGACTCTTCTTCCAGTTTGAATATAAGAATTCCTACTAAATTAGCATTAACAACGACAACAACGGGTGATATTCTGCTGTCCGATAGGAGATCTTCACTGTGGACACCTCACCAAGATCAGTCTGGCAACACCCCGGATGACACCAACAAGCCAGAGATTGTAAATCATGTAAGTCCCGAGTTGCCATATCAACTGCATCATCGGCACTCTGAACTTTTGCTTCAAATCGAAAAGGATAACACGGAAACAGGAGCTTTTCCAGTGCCATTGCATCAGCATGTCCAACATAACGCTCCAACACAGGAGCAACAATATGGACGATCAACGGATGCCAATTCTATAGATGGCCATTTGCGCAATAGTTTTTATGCTCAGATGTTGCAGCAGCAACACTTTCAACAACAAAATCAACACCAACAACAAAGTATGCATGAGCAGAGTCTGAGACACCAGCAACAGAATGCAACAAGTTACGACAACTATAATGCTCCATTATTTCATAACGGTCCATTATTTGGTACACCACAAAGTGATCATCATCTTCGCCAGCAGCAACAACAAACATTGGAAGGTCACGGGTTACTAGATCAATCGGCATCTGTTTCTCACCAGCAACACCAACAGCAAATACAGCAGCATCACCAACAGCAACTGCATAATCAAAATCAGCATCAACACCAACTCCAACAGCAACATCAACAACAACATCAACAACTTCACCAGCAACATCAACAGCAACATCCACAGCAAAATCAACATCAGCACCACCACCAACAACACCACCATCATCTTCAACAGCATCATATTCAACAACAGCAGAAGCAACAGCAAGAGCATCACCAAAAACGACAATTGCACGAAACCTATAACGATCTCATTATGGAAGATTTTCACGAGGAACCCAGCTCGACCTATAAACTGTGAGTAGTCCATATTTATTAAAAAAAAAAAAAAAAAAAAAAACGAAAGAAAATTAACTTTGCCACACCGTTGTTTGCAAACTGAGAGACTAGTTTACGTAGAAACGGACAGATGGACATGCAGATCGGCTCAGCTGTTGATGCTGATCAAAAATATATATTCTTTTTAGGGTCGGAAACAACCATTTCACTGCGTTGCAAACTTCTGACTAAAATTATAATACCCTGTAAAGGTATAATAAATTGAAGATTACTAAAAGATATTATATTATATATATATTATAAACATAACCTTGAACATTTCCGGGTTATATTGATAATTGTTCAATTTATTTATTTAGAACACTTTCACCGAACAACGTTAAATCCGAAAATCAAGACGATGGATATGAGACAAGTGCCGGCGATGTTCTAACCCCAAACTCGCACAGTTCGTCGACCAATTCGGTGACGCCGCAGCATCAAATGCCACAACATCTAAGCATCGGAATAATGTCTCACATTTCCAACCAGAAGAAATCCGATGACCAACTGTTGTTGCTATCAAAGAATCCCATCAACAACGATTCAGGTGCTCCCCCCACAACACCCCTTGCTCATTCTCATGGTCTTGATCTGGGCATGTCGACGGCACAATCTGCCCAATGCCCAAATCCCACCACAACTGCCGTTGATCCATTCAGTTTTATGGGTGAGGAAATGCGCAGCGTGCTTTCATCGCCGGCAGCCCATCATCGACACATGGAGAGTACAGCTTTAGGACCTCCGACGTGTTATCCGACAGAATCAGGGTCAGGAATAGAGACAGGGCCATTATCAGTGCCAAGTGCCGGTGAAGATATTTTTCAGCATCCGCCGCAACATGTTAAAAATAATGCAGAAAACTCGAATAACTCCAAGCCAACGCCAAAAAAAAGGGGACGAAAGAAAAAAATGGTTACTATAACTGAAGGTACGACTGAAGCAGCCATGACAGTGCAAGTAACTAATCAGGAGTAAGTTATATATTATCTAATCATTTTTATTATAATATCCACTATACACATTTCATAGCGCCCTTCCTCCTGTTAGCGAAGATTCCTCTGGTGATCTGCTACAAACTCTAAAACCGAAGGAACGGAAAAAGCACGATCGTTTTAATGGCATGTCCGAAGATGAGGTCATCAAAAGGACAATACCCGATCATCTGTGTGATAATCTTGATATCGTTATAGTGAGTTGTAAATTTCGGATAATCCACAGATAAATCTGATTCTATATTTGAGAAAATATAATTAAGATTCAATTAATATTAGGCGCAATTAATGATATTATTTATTTACAGGTCGGTATAAACCCTGGTTTATTTGCTGCTTACAAGGGCCATCACTATGCAGGGCCTGGCAATCATTTCTGGAAATGCCTTTACTTAGCGGGTCTCACCCAAGAGCAAATGAGCGCCGATGAAGATCATCAATTGCTTAAGCAGGGCATAGGTTTTACGAATATGGTGGCTCGGGCCACTAAAGGTTCAGCTGATCTAACGCGAAAAGAAATCAAAGAGGGAAGTCGGATTCTTTTGGAAAAGTTGCAAAGATTTCGTCCGAAAATTGCCGTCTTTAATGGGAAGTTAATATTTGAGGTCTTTTCCGGCAAAAAGGAATTTCATTTCGGCAGACAATCAGATCGTGTAGATGGCACTGATACCGTAAGTTTCTTTTTTATATCGGTGTTCGGCAAATACCTCTGGCGAAACTCTGACACACACTATAAACCAAACAAACTTTTAGTTTTTTACTCATACGCATACAAATGTAAATGGTTGCCAATCCCTGTTTTATACCCTTGCAGAGTTTTATAATGTTGCCAAGAAGTTTCTAACATAGTGAAGAAGTCATTTCCAACCATGCACTATGGTTTTTTTCCCCTTTTTTTTTGGCGTAAAGTCAATTTTTGTTTTAGTAATTTTAATTTTTTTTTTAATTTGTAGGTATACAGATAAACAAATATTTAACTTTAACATGTGGATCAATACTCAGGCCTGCTCCGGTAATCGTAAAATTTTTTCGATTTCGTTTTGGGCGAAAACGAACCGTTTTCGTTTTTATCTGCTCCGGTTTTCGGCAAATTTCTTTTATCACTGCTCAAGCAGCTAACTTATGTTTTTGATAATAAGCAAACAACGTAAAGTAGTGCCTTTTATATTTACAATTGCCCTTTTTCTAAGCCAGAAAAAGGCAAAAAATGCTAGAGTTAAGTAAATCTAGGCATCTAATATGCTGCCACACATTTCACAGTTTTAATTCCGGTGGTCTCAATTAATTATTTGGTTAATTTTGACCATTTAAGTAATCACATTAAATAGCATTATTTTTAAATAACCATTTTGACTCTCCTTTGGCGATAACTTTTTGCGGTGAACTTATCGACCTATCGCCAAAACGAGAAAACTAGTTGAACACGGCAAAAATTTTGTTGTCAAATCTGAGGTGGGGTCAGAAATAAATTTTTTATAAAATAACTACCTGCCAGAATGATCTTGTGGTGGTGTGGAATAAACATCAATAGACCACCGAGTAAACTATTTTTTTCCTTTTGTAAATAAGATCTGATTTCATATAAAAAAAGCCATTTACTCTTCATTCCGGCCAGAAAAAGGTGCCCGTTTTTCAAATCGAAAAAATCTTTCGTTTTCGATTACCGGAGCACCAATTTCTCGTTTTCAAAAACGAAAACGAAAAAATCTTGCCGTTTTCGATTACCGGAGCAGGCCTGTATGTTTTTGTTTTGTTTTTTGTTTTTGCCATAAACCAGGGATTGCAAATAAGAGTTATGAGTAAAATAAAAGTTACTACCAAAAAATTGAGCTGGAAAGATAAAATATTTAGGTATACCGTAATTTTTGAAGGAGTTCTCAAAAATAAAATAAACTTTTATAACCAATTTTTATTTTTTGATTGCGCTTTAACTCTTATTTTTAAATTTTAATAAAAAGTTGTAGAATAATTATTATTTTTCAATTTGTATATAAAAGTTGAATTATTACAATTATTTGCAATTTTTAAAATAATAATTGAAAATTAAAATTATTCTCCAATTTTTATTTTAAAAATTGAAAATAACAGTTACGTGTCAATTTTTATTTTAAAAATTGAAAATAAAAATTGAATCGCAATAACTTTTCTACGGAGCGGTATATCTTAAAGATAAGAAGATATTATTAATCTACGCTTCAATACCTTTCGTTTGATGTATATATTGTGGTTATTGCTTATGAATAAAAATATGCGTACTATACGTAATGCTTATTACATTCCCCAAATAAACAAGGATACTAAAATACCTTGGCAGCAGCACCGGTCAATTTAACATTTTAACGTTTTTTTTCAGAGAGTGTAGTTGTTTGTTCCTTATTCCTTTTTTTTATTATATATACATATATACTAGCGGACCCGGCGAACTTTATCTCGCCCCAACTTCGACTGATTAAAAAAAATTAAATTGAGAAGTTCCGTTTCTACTTTGACGTACATGTCGAAACACTACTATTGAAACATCTTCAATCAATACGCATAAAAATTCATAGAGCTGACCTTATTCCTATCTTCTCCTAAAAATTTTAGGCTAAAATTTCAATTCAAAATTAGTTGAGAATCAAAAAGAAGTGATGACTTTTAAACAAACCAGTGAGTTCAAAAATTATGTCGGATAGTTGGTCGCTTCATCCTCGTCGGTCACGCTGTCATCGGATCTGTATGAATGCAGTTCTCCAGCGATTTGACTTTAAATAAGGAAATTCAAACTATCTACGTCCTTATTCTTCCCGGCGAACTTTATCTCGCCCCAACTTCGACTGATTAAAACAAATTAAATTGAGACGTTCCGTTTCTACTTTGACGTACATTATTACCTTACCTTATTCCTATCTTCTCCCACGAATTCCGATTATTCCAACAGATCTTCCATTCCAATTCAAGAGGATTCAGTTCCCAGCTCGATTGGCATTTGCGATGACAATCAATAAATCGCAAGGCCAATCGTTGGAAGTCTGCGGGATGATTTGAGTCATCTTCTCTTTTGTCAGCGCTGATAATGATTTTATGTTCGTCATAATGCATTATATCCAATGCGGTTTTAAACAATCTGACCAATTCATTATGCTCATGGAGAAGGTTTTGCAATTGTTGAATAATTTCACGTTTAGTTGCAGTAAAAATTGCACAGCGGTGATTTAGTTCAACTTCCGAATCACCAATGAAATAGATCTGAAGGAATTTATGATGTTTGTTTTGTGGTGGTAACAAAGCGCCCGCTCGGTGGTGAATTTGCCCTTGAATCTGAATGTTGGGATGCAATTTAGAAAAAATGTGATAATAAAGAGACGCCATTACCTTATAACTTGGATTGTAGCCTGATTGTTGAACCTCGGCTCCAAAAGACGTCATTTGAAAGCATCCGTTATATTTTTGTGCAAGCTTCAGGAAACTGTTTGATTGGGCTGAGTTTCCATATAGTAGCGAGTACAAAGGCTCTGGTGGATGAGCCAAAACGGGCAATTTAATTTTGCCACCTGCACAGCATAAGCCGGGGGTTTCCAACCGAAACTTCAATGCATTACAATGCTGACATACAACAGATAATGAACCAATAACAACGCACGTAAGATCCTTGTAGGATGTTTCAGGATTGTATGCGAATGCAGCGCGATTCAAGTTTTCATTTGCGGCTCGTCTTCCTCTATTATTTTGTCGGGCTTGAGGTGGTCTTTGTGCAGCGCGAAGCTGTGCCATTTGGGCACGTATCGATGCATTTATTTCTGTACGTTCCTCTTGCGTCCGACTATTAAGGAAATTCTGATTATTTATTGCATTGCGAGAACGCCGCCCAAGATTTGATCGTCTAACAGCAGGCATTACTTCCAATTGTTTAAGCTCACTTTGGTAATGCTTCGTTAGCTCGATTTTTTTGTTTAAATATTTTTTTACCGAGTTCATTGATACACAATTTCAACGCAGCTATGATCTTTGTAGGGTGTTTCAGAATTTTACATATAACAGTGGACCATCTGTTGAGCCGCTAGCGACCTTTCCGGAAGGACTTTCCAAAATTTTCTTATGCTATAACCTTCTTCTGGCAATACAAAAAACTGAAAAAAAAATTGAGCCAAATCGGCCCAGCCGTTCTCTTGTGATTTGATCCCTAACATTTTTTGTCTCCATTTTTATATATATAGATATATTTTTTTTAATTATCTCAGTATTCATGTTTGTTTGTGAAACGGTGAATTTTTTATGCACTTATGTACATGTACATATTTGTGCATATGCAATAACCACAATATATACATCAAACAAAAGGTATTGAAGCGTAGATTAATTAAATATGTCAATCTTTAAGATATACCGCTCCGTTGAAAAGTTATTGCGATTCAATTTTTATTTTCAATTTTTAAAATAAAATTTGACACGTAACTATTATTTTCAATTTTTTAAAATAAAAATTGGAGAATAATTTTAATTTTCAATTATTATTTTAAAAATTGCAATTAATTGATTTAACTCAACTTTTCTATACAAATTGAAAAATAATAATTATTCTACAACTTTTTTATAAAACTTGAATAATAAGAATTAATTTCCTATTTTTTCTATATAATTGTAAAATAACTCTTATTTCATAATTTGTATTATAAAAATTATAACTGTTACGATCCCTGCCATAAACTCCAATTTTAGACCTATTCAGGCCTGCTCCGGTAATCGAAAACGGGAAGATTTTTTCGTTTTCGTTTTTGAAAACGCGAAATCGGTGCTCCCGTTTCCGAAAACGAAAGATTGTTTCGATTTGAAAAACGGGCACCTTTTTTTTGGCTGGAATGAAAAGTAAATGTTTTTTTATATGAAATCAGATCTTATTTAAAAAAGGAAAAAAATAGTTTACTCTGTGGTCTATTGACGTTTATTCCACACCACCACTAGATCATTCTGGCAGGAGTTATTTTATAAAAAAATTATTTTTGACCCCATCTCAGATTTGACAACAACAAGTTTTCTCGATTTGGCGATAGGTCGATGTCCATCGCAAAAAGTTATCGCCAAGGTTGCCATATTGTTGGTGGAACGAAACAGTCAAATTAAAATACTTATAAAATATAAATGAATACATTAATGACTTTAAAGGAGTGCCAAAATTGTTGTTTATAAATAATGCGATTTAATTTGATTACTTAAGGGGGTCTTCTCATTGGGCAACTTTTTTTTTCGATTTTTTTTTTTTTGCATTTATTTATAGCTTGGGATGGTGTGTATATGTCCCCAAAAGGATTTTTAGAAATTCAAAATACTTTAGAAGATACAGCCTTTTTTGTGAAGCAAGTTCTTCGCAAAATGAGCTTTTTTCAAACTTCAAACGCGTTTATCTCGAAAACACGTTTTTCGAACTGGCGGCCATGATATCTCCAGTTCAACAGAACCGATTTTCATGAAACAAAGTGGAGTCGACGCAGAATTGTCACCATTCTCGGGTGACGGAACAGATTTTTTTTAAATTTTTTTTTCTATTTTTTTTTACACTAAACTACAAAAAAAAAAGCCCGAAATCGAAATTTTTTTTTTGAATGGCCGCCATTTTGTTTAAAAAAATTTTAAAAAAAATCTGTTCCGTCACCCGAAAATGACATCAATTCTGATTTTAACCCCGTTTTTATTTTTCATTTCGGACGCTCTGGAGACCCTGAATCGTGGCCGCCAGGACGACACCTTTTTTTTCGACCATCAAGTTTGAAGTTTCATTACTCTTTGAAAAACCCTCGTATCGAGGCAAGAACAACTTTTTTAGTTACTTTGAACATTTTTGAATACAATAAATAAAAAAAGCTTTCAATTATTCTTTGCGTTTTCAAATAAGAATTTTTTTAAAAAGGGTCCAAAAAACGGCTTTTGAATGAGAAGACCCCCTTAAATGGTTAAAATTGACCAAATAATTAATTGAGACCACCGGAATAAAAACTGCAATACATGTGGCAGCCCTTGTGCCCTTGTTTTCTAGTGGAAAACAGCTGTTTTAAGATGAATTCATTTTTTAAATATAAGTAGGCTGAACTTCGCAGCGCCTTGAATGGCATTGGCCCTCCGACCAAAGATGTTGCATCTTAGATGCCTATATTTTCTTAATCTTTCCGGATCAGCTAAAAACGAAAACGAGCGATTTCGCCCAAAACGAAAACGACAAAATTTTACGATTACAGGAGCATGCCGAATATTACGATATCTGTTTTTCAATAAGATAGATTCTGTCAAATGTTTTAATTGGATTACTGTAACTATTTAACAAAAAAAAAAAAGATTTTGGTGTTATGTTATATGTTTTTGACCAGAATGCACAGCAGAGTCAAAATTGAATCTTAGTTTTCTATCCAAATGAAACTTTAGGTAGTTTTTTTTATATTGTATGCAGTTTAAATAACGATTTTAAAATAACGTTTTAAATATTATCAAAATCGAATTTTTATATTTTGAACGTTTCACCTTTGTTTGTTTTTTTTTTATTTACCCGAAATTGATCGATATCAAATGATTTATTTGCAAACTGCAAGGGTATATAAACAACGGCGTTCCAAAGTTCACATCAGAAATTTCCTGTCCATACAAAATTTGACAGGTAAATTGAATATATTTGAATAAATGTGGCAATCGTCACCAGGCAGCATTTTTTTTTGTAGCTTAGGATTTTTTTGTTTATTTCTTTTCCTAATTGCTATCCATTGTTTATACATTTCAGTACATTTGGGTAATGCCATCATCATCGGCGAGATGCGCTCAATTGCCACGCGCCGCCGATAAAGTACCATTTTATGCAGCATTAAAAAAATTCCGTGACTTCTTAAATGGTTTAATACCACAAATTGATGAATCAGAGTGCGTGTTTACAGATCAGCGGATTAGACAGTGTAGCGAGCAACAGCAGCAGAATATAGACAACAAAGGCAATCAGTCTGCACTCTCCTTTGTAGATAATTGTGGCAGCTCAACCTCTATTGCTGGGGACTGTGGGGGTAATCCTGACGTTCCAGATCCCTTACCTTCTAATAAATTAATGCCATCGCACATGATTTCGAACGATAATCCTTATAACAACGATACGGCAGATAGTCCCATGAGACATCCAAGCAATTCTACATCGTATCTGACAGTGTTTGGACACCAATCCCTTCCGCAGCCACAACCCGTGGAGAAAAAAAAACGTGGTCGTCCCAAAAAAATAAAGGGACAGCAAGAGCTAATTATGGATCATCGTGCGCCTCAGTATAACCATCATCATGACTTCAATAATATACTTAATCTCTCTGTGGTTGAAACACCCAAAAAGAAACGTGGCAGGCCAAAGAAACTAAAGCCCACCGCTAGCCTTGATAGTATATTGGACAACAACAAGCAGTTGTCAAACACCAGCAACCCATTGTCTGCTGCAGTACATTCACTGGATCAACACACAACAACAACAACAACGGATGCCTCGCCCCCACAAGGCAACAATCATCAGCAATTGCCGCCCAGTCTGTACAATACTCCGCCACCATCGCACATCCTGTACACCGCATCGGCCTCACCGATGGCCTCACCCGCCTGTAATTATACGCAGGTTCATACCCACGGGACTCCCACTGCGGTGGGTGTCCAGGGGGCGTCTCCCAATGATCATTTATTATTGGTAAAGCACGGATCTTCTCATGAGCAACAACCGCATTTGGGCGAAACGCCGCCACCTAGTTCCCCGAATATGTGCGGTGCAGTAGACTTCGAGCAGCTGCCGGAGAATCAGTCAGAGTCCAAAAAGGTTACAGCGCTGACTGTGGAAAAGGAGGAGTACAATGACAGTCCCTCACATGATCCAGACACAGCCCAAATCCAAGTTCCAGTCCATTCAAATGAAAATCACTATCACCAGCAATGGCTTTCGTCTCCGCATCATCATAGTCCTCAAAGCAAACAGTTGCCTCCCCCACAAATACAGCATTATCATCAGCAGGAACAGACGGAACATTGGCAGCGTGGTTACGAGGAACAGAACCCCCAGAATCAACCCAATCCCTATTTATTAATCTCTTCCGCACACCAACCTAATCAACACTTAAGTCCAAGGAACACCAACTTTGGTTCTGATGTGGCCCGCAAGAGCTTGTGTGGCTTGGAGTCATTAGTTGATCAAATCCCTGCCATCAGAGAGCATGATGAGTCCATGTCAGCGACGGCGCAAGCGGCAGCTGCTGCTGTTGAAAGTCGCTTATTAGGTTTGCAGCAACAGCAACACCAAGGTAAACGCTGCAGTCAAGATGAAGAGTCCTCTGGCACTTCCGATAATAACAATGTGATTAGTAATAACAACTTTTCGGTCTCGAGTCTTGTGGCTGTCAAAACGGATAACGATAATCTATATCTCAATAACAGTGGTGAACACCGTGGAAACGCAGGTGAAAATCACGCAAACACCAACACCAACATGGAATATTATCATCATCAGCATCATGTCGTGACTCCTCATCTGATTAATAGTTCAGAGCCAAATCTCCAGCATTCACATGGATTTTCTTCTCACTCTCATCCGCATTCTTCTCCTCACACTCATTCTTCTCCTCATTCACATCCCTCTCCCCACTCACATCCTTCTCCCCATCCTAATGCACATCCCCACTCATCTCCTCACTCACATCCCATGTATATGGAGCTCAACCACTTGAGCCACATCCCCACACTGAATGTAAACTCGACAGTTTACGCTTCAACAGCCTATGGCTCACATCTGCAACATAGCACAGGATCAGGGTCAGGATCAGGGGAATACACAACAGGAGCTAGCCATCATGGACATTTTAGTCCAGTTCAGGTTCAGTGTTCCTCAACGAGCTCTACACCAACCCTACATGTACCGAGCCCCAATTATCCTTTTCATCATCATCCTTACGGAGGCCATACGGCACCACAAGCCTCCTATCCAAGTTATGTACACCCCTCGCATCATGGTCACCATCACCCGCCGCCACCACCACATCATCATCCTCTGAGCGTTTTTGATCACTTGAAACCGTCCGATATTGGTGGTTATGGCAGTTTTTGATTAAAAATCGACAAAGAACTAATGAAACTTGAAGCGGAAACTGAATCATCGCAACGATCTATCGAATATACAGGCTTGAATGTGGCTCTTTAATCGTTAATCGTCAATCGATTATATTTAATCGCAAATATCCGGCGTAAAAAAAAACGGCCTCAACCCAAATTGTCGCATCTCCAGCAATATTTATCAATCTCCGGCCTTGCCGACCCTTTCTACTTTTTAAAGAACATTTTTTAGAGTTTTAGACCTTATATAAAATATAAAAAATATAGAAAAATAAGAATAACCAAAGACTCCGCCTAATATATATAATTTTTTAAGCGTTACATTACATTACAATAATAAATACTACATATATAACAATAACGATAACGATATTATATACGTAAACATACAGGAAAAACTAAAATATGATTATAAGTACTTAATTATTATTTAACTCAAAAGGATTTACAAATAATAAAACAAGAAGACAACATAGTTTACCCGTAAATCGAAAATAAAGAAAATTTCTTAAGAATATTTCGTGAATCTGTAGATATTATATTTCATTTTATAATTTGTTTCATATATCCTTATCTGTTAAAAGCTCTCGGATGACAAGGTTTTCGACAAAGTTTACATAATTTTTTATATGTGAATGGACTAAAGTGGGAACTTTTCGGTGTCCAATTGGCCTGTGCTCTCTGAAAAGTGTTTAAAACAGAGTAATATTAAGAATGATGTAAGATTCGGTTTGTTTAATTAAGGGTGGACATCTGAGTAACTGGCCAAAAAAAAAGCCGATTTTCAAGAATTTTTTTTTGGCCAAATGAAAAAGCAAATCGAAAATTTTTTAAGTAGGTTTGATAATGTTATATGTGAAGTACAAAATACATTTTTTTTAATAAATCGAAAACAAAATGGCGGCTGTGCAGCATTTCTTCGTAGGCCCTATTTTTTTGAAAGGGGTCCATGGCCGGAAACCTAACGTCCTTAATTTTTGATCTAGAACAAAAAATCAAATTTTCAGATCGATCGGTTAAGATTTGTTCGAGTTAGGTTTCCGGCCAACTCAAAAAAGTGGTTTTGAGATAAACGCGTTTAAAGTTTTAAAATCGTATATGATTACATGTGAGGCATCGCCGCAGAATGGAAAATTTCGACACTTAGAAACTTTTGCCGGACTCTATCTTTTGATATGTTATTTTTAAGACCCTAAAGTATTTTTTAAGAAAAAAAAAATTTTTTCGATTTTTAAAAAAAGTTACTCAGATGTCCCCCCTTAATAGTTAAATCAATTTTTATTTTATTATATATATATATATAATATATAATTTTTTGTATATATATATATAGTTATTTTTAAATTGAGATATGTATGGTAATTGGGTTGATGTAAATACCATTGCTATATTTATTGATTGGTAAGTAAATATTTCATTCATTTATTTCTTATTTGACCTATTTCTTAACGGAACAAACTTAAAATTATATTTAAAAACATGTTTTACACTCGAGTATTTTATAAACATTACATTCAATTTTTTTTGTTCTAAAAAATAATTTACTTAAATATTTTTTAACAAAATAATTTATTATGTAAATAAAGAAAAGCGAAAGTAAGATTGATTTGATGAATTGTATAAAATATTTAATATTCCCAAGGTAGAAAGATAATATATTACAATTCACTGTTTTATACTAAAATAATCACGATTAAGTTATTAGTTTTAAATAAACAAACGCACCGGGGTAAGCTTAACTTAACTTCCAAGCATTTTTTGCAATTTAATTGTGATTATTTTAGCAAATTAAGTTATAGTTAAGTATCATATTATTAAATATTTGTACTTTTATTCAGGAAAATAAAAGTTTTTTCATAATTATATTTATTACATTGAAAAATGAAGGGTTTTAATAATATTAACAAGTGTCTTCCGTTTTATTTTGTAATAGGATGCAAAAAAAAAACATATTTATTTATTTCCGTCTCATTTTAAATATGTTAAAACGATTATTTTATTTAAATCGAGCTTCGAACGTTTTCATTTTGACGATGACATACCGAAATGAGGACTCTAAGACTAAGATTTTAATTTAATAAAACGAATCGAGACTAAATCTAAGAAACCAACATAAGTATATTTAAAATCCATACAAATATAAATGTATATATGTGAAAGTTCATAATAAAATAATATGTAGATTAATTATTTAGCTATATACAAATAAGATCTTACTAAATATTAATATTTAATCTTAATGCATTATTGTGCATATAACATATTTTGAAATTAATTTTACAGAACACGGTAACACTGAACATTAAACATAACGAAAGAGGTGCAATTAATAAACGAATATTGCGAGTAATATTAAATGAATTAATTAATATTACAATTTCCTCGCATTTCATACACATAAATATGTAAATAAAAAGGTAACAAAAAATAAAAGAACTATTATTCTGAAATGAACCCATACTTTTTTATGCGCTACAAATAAAAGTATTAACGTTCAGCAAACTAATTAACGTCGTTTACCTTTTGCAAGGCAAACAACACATTATAGGAAACATTTGACAATATCTTTTATCAATTAATGAGGTATTTATTAATAGTATGCAACCTTAATATATGAAAGCTGGTATATATATATATATTTTATCTTATATCTTATATCTTATAATAATACAAAGTTCTATTTACCTACTAATGGTAGTACAGTAATCGCTTGTAATTTGTAAAGGGTGCTTTAGAAATGATTTAAGAACTAAGAAACAAAACAGTATCTATGTGTTCGCTTTCGATTCGATTTATTTTCATGTTTTATTTAAGGGGGGGAGGGGGTGCGAAAATGCACAATATTTGAACAGTTTTTGATAAATTTTGTATTGAAAAACATTTAGAGGTAGAGGAGTTATAGGGAATCTCTCGAGTGGCCTCTAAAAAAAGTTGGTTTGCGGTGTACATCCTAACTGTCCACAGAATCATCCGATCTACAAAAATTATACTTCATTCGTTAAAGGATAAGTGTCCCGAGGTATTCACGAAGAGTTTTTATTTTTTAAATTTTGTTCCCTATTTTTTATCAAAATTTGAAGTCAAAACCCCGTTTTTTGACTAAAAAATTAAGTTAATTTGTTAAATAAAATATATAAGAAAATTAAAAATTAAAAAAAGCTCGACATGAATACCTGTAGAATTATCTAAAGAAGTTATGTTCAAATTTCATGTTGAAGATAAATGTTTCTAATTCAAAAACCCGCCAAGTTAGAGTGCCGCTCGTAATAACATATCGATTGTATCGAAACAAGATAAAACACATCACTAGCATCATAAAGACATAACCTAAAAAGCTGTAGAAGAGAGTGAATAAACAAGACAGAGTTTTCTAAAGAAATATAGTTTATTTACTGGCCAAAATAACTCAAAAGCTAAAAGTTATAATAGGTTATGGGCCCAGGAACGTTTTGTTCAAGTTGAAGTGAAAGAAAAGATCGCATTTTTCTCGATTACAATGGATTTGGCGAAGCACGTGACGAAGCTCTCAGGAGCGACCGATTGGCCGATTTGGAAAAGAAAAATAAGGGACCTGATTGATTACCACGACGGTGCTCTCGACGCGTTGGATGGAAAGATCATCAAACCGGATCCATTACCAGAAGGTGCCTCAACAGTAGATGAAAAGAAGCACAAGGAGATGAGCGATTTTTTTCGTAAGGCCAACAGCTATGCAAAATCCATGATTACCACCGCGGTCACGGACTCGGTGTACCAGAAGATCATGGACAAGGAGACAGCACACGATACGTGGGAAGCCCTGAAAAATCAGTTTGAAGCAACGGCGAAGGATCAGGTATTCAGGATATGCAACGAGTTTTTCGCTTTCTCTTGGAATCCAGGTAACGATGTATCAACCCACATAGCAAAATTGCGCAGTCTATGGAACGATTTAAATCAAGCTTTGAAGGCTAAAAATGAAAATGAGCTGCCAGATTTAATACTTGTTTGTAAAACGCTACATATTTTGCCAAAAACATTCGAAACGTTCCGTCAAAGTTGGATGCTCTTGACAAAAGAAGAAGAAAAGACTTTCGACGAATTAACTAATCAAATCGTCATGTTTGAGAGAAACTTTAGAACAAAAGAAAATGACGAAAAGGGAAGCCAGGAGGCTTTTTCTACCACAGCAAAAAAAAGGAGCATCGTCAGGATTCAGAAGCATCTGGTCGGAGATTCGACACCTGTCACTATTGCAAGAAAAAGGGGCACTGGATCAGGAACTGCATTAAATGGAAGAAGGATGGACGTCCGAAGCAGAGCCACCAGAATGCTGAACAAGGAAATTGTGCAGAACCAACGGTAACTCTCATCTCAGTCCAAAATGGCGTGTTTGCAGCAGAGGCAAACTCAGAGGTCAACTGGTGGATAGACAACGGTGCAACAAAACACGTTGTGAAGACTGCGAAGTATTTCGAGCATTTTGAGAAGTTTGAGAATCCGAGTTGGATCAGAGCAGCTGGAAATGAAACCTTGTCAGCTTTGGGTCAGGGCACAATCAAAGTCAAAACGATTGTCAATGAAAAAATTCTGTTTCTTTCTTTGAAAAATGTATGGTTTGTTCCCAATATAACGAAGAACCTATTTTCAGTGTTGGCTGCCCAAGGCAATAATCCAAGTAGTCGTTTTGAGTCGTCAGCAACCAAGTGCTCCCTCAAAATAAACGACAAGATTGTCCTCGTTGGAGCCAGAGAAGTTGGAGGAACACTCTACAGAGCAGCGATCGAGCCCATACTTCCAGAACGAAACGTCGATGTCAACGTCGTAACTTCAGGAACATCAATTATCCAACTGTACCACGAGAGGTGGGGACATCAGGACAAGAACCACATCAAGGACATGCTCAAAAGAGAAATGGGCATTCAAGTCAAGCTTGAGAGCAGTTTGTGCGAGCCTTGCATTCTTGGAAAGGCGCATCGATTGCCATTTGGAACGAGGAAACCAGCGATGAAGCCAGGGGAATTGATGTCAGGCGATGTTTGCGGCCCATTTGAGGATTCATTCCAGAAGAAGAGGTATCTGGTAGTTTTTAAGGATCATTTCACCAGGTTTCGATACGGGTACATCGTCAAGCAGAAATCAGAGGTCAAGGACGTGCTGCGACACATGGTTTCCCACGCCAAGCAACAAGGCCACACAATTCGAGAATTCCTGAGCGACAATGGAGGAGAATTCGACTGTGCAGGAGTGAAAGAAACTCTTCAGGAAGCTGGTATAACTTTTCGACTCACCGCTCCCTATACTCCAGAACAAAACGGTGGTGTCGAGAGAGAGAATCGAACGATAGTCGAAATGGCGAGAACTTTCAAGTATTCTAATCCAGAAATAAAATTTCCAGAAGCAATTTGGGCCGAGTTGGTCAGCACAGCAGTCTACGTTCTCAATAGGACCGGCAAATCTTCATTGAAGGGTCTGAGCCCTTACCAACTTTGGCTGGGCAAGAAACCAAGAATCAAACATCTTCGAATTGTAGGAT